TCCTCCTGGGCCCCGCCACAGGAGACTGGGAGCGGGGCTGAGCCACGCCGAAAATTTCAGTCCCATCACGTGCGCAAGGGCAGAAAACTGGATTATACAGAGAAAAAAAAAAAGGTTTTATTTAGGATGGAAGCACGTAGCTAATAATAAAACATAGCGATATAGAGGGGGCTTATGGCATATCCAGTCCTTAGCATGGTAATAAATGCGAAGATAGGAATTCCTAACCGTTAACATCCTCTGTTAACACCTTACAAACAGCAGTGAGCTGAAGAAGAGTACCATAAAAAGGACTACGGAATTGCTAACAGTCTCTGGACTACTCGAAGGAACTCATCATGTATCGCTTCAGGCTAGGGCATTGCGGGGGGATTTTTTTTTTTTTTTTTTTTTTTTGGTTAAATAAGGTAAGGCCACATTTTTGCCCCCGTTTGTTGATGTCCCAAATTGGAAGGTGTTTCAAACCAGAGGACAAATGTGGGAGAAGCTGCCACAGGCTAGTAATAGGCGATGTTCCAACTGGAAAGGCTTGCACATCCATGTTTAATGGGGAAAGCCATGACAGTGTTGTGTTATTCAGCTGTCCGGTCACTCAGGCTTTGCATGTGGAGGTAGGAATTAATTGTCCCATGTAAGATTTGGAAAAGTTGAAGGAAAGACAAATAGATTGAAGTTCAGCTCCACAGTCTTAGACTCAAAAGATTGGGAAGCGCCTTATCAAACTTGTCAAACTTCGCCTTGTCAAACACTGGGTAAACTGACTACATTCATGAAAAAAATAAGGTAACAAAAAACAGAATTCCTAAGACTACTACAGTGTCTAACAAGCCAAAGTTTTGAGTCAGAACCAACCTGGAACTTTTTATTTTGATCTTCACTTCAGTTTAAAAGCTATTTTAAAAGCCCAATTCTCCCAGTTGTTATTCTACCGCATATTCACAGTCCCTGGTTTACCCAGAAGCTGGTGCCCATTCCTCAGGCTCTCAGCACTCTTACCAAACAACCAGCACTCGGCTCTTGGGACTAACTCCCTGCTTACAGACCTCCTAATGTTTTTTGTGCCCTTGGGGTTAAGCACCCAGCTCTGACACCAGAGTCACCATGTCTCCAGTCAGTCTCTCGCCTTTGTGGTTTCCATCACCCACCTTTTTCAGGCGCCCCCGAAACACTGCTTTTGTTTCCTGCTCTAAACATCTGCTCCAGCCCTATGGCAGAAGTGAGCACGAAGTGAGAGTTCTCCTACCCACCGTACATTTATAAGGTTTCTTGGCAGCATGGATTTTCAAATGCACTTTAAGCGTCGAGCTTTTCCGGAAGCTTTTCCCACACTCGCTGCACTCGTAGGGCTTGGCTCCTGCGTGGATCCTCACGTGGGCACCAAGGGCTGAGCTGTGCCTGAATGTTTTTCCACACTCCTCACACTTGTAGGGTCTCTCCCCGCGGTGGATCCTCAGGTGCACGTTGAGAGCCGAGCCTCGATGGAAGCTGTCCCCGCACTCCACACAGATGTAGGGCCGTTCCTCGGCATGCGTAGTCTGGTGCTTGGCCAGAGTGGAGTGGTTGCTGCACCTCCGGCCACACTCAGTGCACTGGTAGGGGTTGGGCAGGAGGCCACCGTGGTACATGGGCAAGGCCTTCCCCCCGTGGATCCGGCGATGAGTGGTGAGTGCTGAGCTCTGGCTAAAGCCCTTCCCACACACGGGGCACTTGTAGGGCTTCTCGCCTGTGTGCGTTCGCATGTGGGTCACCAGCGAGGAGCTCTGCCGGAAGGTCTTCCCGCATTCGGTGCACTCGTATGGTTTCTCTCCTGTGTGGATCCTCTGATGCCGAATGATGGCCGAGCTGTCCCGGAAACGCTTCCCACAGTCCTGGCATTTGTGGGGCTTCTCTCCAGTGTGGACTCTCCGGTGTATGAGTAAGGACGAGCGGTCACTGAAGCTTTTTTCACACCGGGGGCAATTAAAGGGTTTCTCACCCTTGTGGCTTCGCTGGTGGACAATGAGATGTGAGTTCTGGCTGAAGCTCTTCCCACAGTCGTTGCAGTGGTAGTGTCTCTCTCCCGTGTGGGTCCGCTGGTGCCTGATCACGTTGGACCTCTGGCTGAAGGTCTTCTCGCACTCATTGCACTGGTAGGGCTTCTCGCCGGTGTGGATCCGTTGGTGTTTGATCAGGTCTGAGTTGCGGGTGAAACTCTTCCCACATTCAGAGCAGCTGAAGGGCTTCTCTGCCAAGTGGATCCTCTGGTGCTGGCTCAGGTACGAGCTCCGGCTGAAGCTCTTCCCACACTCAGGACACTCATAGGTTTTCTCTCCTACGTGCTGAATCCAAATGGCACCGTTCCTACACACGGGTGGGTCTGGCCTGTCCCCAGCAAGGATAACCTTGCTGATGTGGGCTCTGCCACTGTCCTCGCACTCCCAGACTTCCATCCGACAGGGACTTACCATTCCCCGTCTCTTTCCAAAAGATGTCTCCACCTCACTTTCTGTCTCCAGCTCCTGCTTGCTGTCCTGTCTTTGATCGGCATCCTGGAAGGTATCTCCTGTGAGCTTTCTGGGGAACAGATGCAGTTCAGCTCTCACAGGACTTTCTTGATGAAGCTTGCCCTTCTGTGTGTCACCCATGGTCCTGTCACCTGTTGGAGTGAACAGAGGAACTAGCAATGAATAACCTCCCCCCCCCTCCTCCGATAGCGAAATCCAAACAGGGCAACCACAGAGACGTGCTGCACACCATCTGCCATTAGCTAAGGGCGCAGGAGCCAACCACTCAGTATCTTCTCTGGGCAGAGTGAGGGCACAGAGACCGAGGAGAGCAGGAAGGGAGTGTGACCCAAAGATGGGCGGCCGCTGTGGCAGAGATTGCAAAGAGGGTCCTTTGTCATAAAGTCACAGCCCTAAAGGACAAAGCCTGTCACTTGCTTGTCCTGAAAGTTCCCATGTCCAGGTTGGTCAGAGGAACATCATCACTGTTCTCCCCAACAACCCCCACTGTAGCTGCTTGTCCTCCTGTTGCCTATGAATCATGGCTCTTCTTCCAGCATTCCCAGGCTTAATCAAGGAAGCAGCCAACACCACAGGAACCTCCACCCTGCCGAGTAGACTATTTTCTTTCTTCTTTCCAGTCATAGCCCTTTTCCTTAAAAAGAAAGCCCTACAGATTCTGCAGCAAATTGTATCCAGGTTTTGTCTACAGAACAGGTAGGCAACTGAGTGGAACAATGAACTGATTTATTAACCAAGCGTGGAAATGAACATTTAGACTGAAACATTTAGGAGCTCCTGGTTTTTTTTAATAGTTATATGCAGAACACACCTCAGAAATGGATGCTGGAGTGCGAGGTAAGCCAATTAGCTGGATGGCACTGCTTACTGAGTTAACATCATCCTCTTACACATGGGAGGTCAGAATATGAGATGAATGCAGCAGGATAAACTTCTCAGGTTTTGTTTCAGGTGATCTGCTGATTTTGGAAGACTGATTTCCAAAGTTTTGTTTACAAAACTTTTTGTTCTTAGGGCTGAGAAACATTTGTAGTACAAATAAAGGCCCAAGGCATGCACCCCCAAAGCAGCACAATGACCAATAAAACATTAAAAATATTGTCAGTGTGAAAGGAAGAAAAAGACACATTTTGGTTAGTTATGCCTTCTAACATTCTGAATATAGCATTTGCTAAAAAATACACAAGATTTTACTTCATTTTGGATAGGCTTTTTGAAAGGGTATTAGATTACCCAGGACTGTGTTTCATCGTTATCATACCCCGCCTATAAATCTTCCTGAAAGCAGAATCTATATAGTATGGGAGCAGAATTGTCAGGACGAATGCAGAGCATGCAGCACAATACACACCAAATTTTCAGCATTCACCTCTTTTCTTCCTTTCCCAGACACGCTCTATTCAATTTCTTACCTTGTGAGCAGTCTCTCTACTGTCTCGGTGTTTAGCTGCTTCTGGATACAAAGCTCTTTCTCCTCACTCCATCCAGGAGGTTAAAGCCAAGTCAGGGATGGAAGATCCTGATCAGAGGAAAGAAAACAGATGTAATAAATACCTGTCATAACAGCAGTGCTGTAGAGTGAGATCATAGGAGAGTAAGTATTTAGGAGATGAAAGCAACCTAGACCAGAGGAAAACGACACCCAGAAACATGAGTCAAGGTCACTGTCTGTTCTGCCACGCACACCGTAACACCAGTGTTTGGGTCCAATAACCAGGGCCAGCTCCCATAGAGAAGAGGGGGTCACCTACACGTGCTGCGGAGAGCTGCCTGCCAGCTTGCTGCCTTCTCTGAAGCTTCTTCTGCACTTCCAGACCAAAAATGCCTCCTACTGTGTTTTTTATAAGAAAAATATTGATTCTTCAAACCATTTTCTTTCCATCACCTTTCTTCCTAGTGAACTAAATGAGAAAATAATATAGTTAATGCAGTTCTGTTCTGCACGCGGAGGAAAAATGCCGCCTTCACAACTGGTCTGCCTTCTGTGTCTGTCTGGTGTCCTGTTTATTGCCTTTACTGAAGGAGTATTTTGCTTGGTTGCTCTTAGTGGCTCAGACAGGCATGCACAGGTCTGGGTGAGAGAAGAGATTTTGGTCTGCTCGCATGTTATCGACAGGAGCAGTCTGAAGGCAGAATTTCCTGTCCTGTGCTCCAGAAAAATGGCAATTTGCCTGCCTTGCTCCAGATGAAGTTTTCAGGGCTGGCAGTGAGCAGAAAAAAAGGCACGCACACCTGTTTATGCATGAACACCAAGATGACTTAGCCAACATGCAATCCCACTTCTCAAGGATCTCTTTTCAAAGCCAAAGTACACCGCGCAGGAGTGGGCTTTGTGGGATAGAAAATTAGGTCACCGATGTAGCTTCAGCACTACGTTTGTGCGGTGGTATTTATACAGAAGCATTTTAAGATGCTGAGGGCTCAGTGATGTCCTAGAAATGTACAGGTTACAGAAAGAAAATACTTTAAAACTGCACATGTGAATGCCAGCTCTGCAATGCCGTTGCACCATTTACGTCATGTGCATTCCCACTGTGCCACTAGGAACAAGCATAAAATTACTTATGACTAAAAAAAAGAAATGTAAACCAGCATATTTTATTTTGAAAATGAGAAACAAACTGAACTGGCTGCTCAGTGGTGTCCCAGAGGAGGGTATGGCAATAGACATCAGTTGCCAGGCCCTGACAAGGGCAGCAGGAGGATTTCCCCACCTGCATAACGCCACTGTGATAAAAGAAGGCCCCTGATAAAATGGAGAGCTAACATTTTGTTGACTCTGCCTCAGCCTGGAGTCACATCCTTTCTGCTCCCGCTGCCTCCTCCACGGGGGATTTGGTGGGCATCGCCCCTTGGGGAGAGGGTGTTTCCACTCCTCCCAGCAGCAGGCAGCAGTTCCAGGCTCTCATCCCAGGTAAGAGGCAGGGAAGCTGAGATGCCCCTCCCCATCCATCCCCCATCCACCTTGGAGGCAGTGCTGCTCTGCAGGTAAGCCTGACCCTGCTGAACCCTTCTGATTTTAGGAAGAGAGAAATATCCTTCTGGTTCAGTCCCCTCCTGCTGCTGTTCAAAAGCTGCTGGAAGCACATGGTCAATACACTCCCTAAAATGGTGGGTGAGCACCTCCAGAAAGCAGATGTAGGAGACAGCTGATGCTGTGCAGAGCCAGGCAGGTTGTGGGATATGGCAGAAAAGCATGTTGTGTAGCGTGTAGTACAAGATGGGAAACCTGAAATGCCACTGAGCACCAGATAGGGACAAGGTGCCAGTCTCTAGAGCAGCCATGTTTGGACAAAGCCGAGTCATAGAATCATAAAATCATAGAATGGTTTGGGTTGGAAAGGACCTTAGAGATGATCTAGCTCCAACCCCCCTGCCACAGGAAGGGACACCCTCCACTAGACCAGGTTGCTCAAAGCCTCATCCAGCCTGGCCTTGAACACCTCCAGGGATGGGGCATCCACAGCTTCTCTGGGCAACCTGTTCCAGTGCCTCACCACCCTCCAGGGAAAAATTTATTTCTAATATCTAATCTAAATTTGCCATCTTCCAGTTTAAATCCATTATCTCTCATCCTGTCACTGCATGCCCTTGTAAAAAGGTCCCTCCCTGGCTTTCCTGTCCTGGCTGATGAGGTACTCTGGTCCTTACAAGGCCAAATGAGGAACGAGAGAAGTGACCTGCAGCATGGGGAGGTGATGGGCCGCACCGAGCTCCTCTGACAGCAGACAGACAGAGGCTCCATGAAGGACATGGCGGGCCAGGGGTTGGGGAGCCACCACTGAGACCACAAGCCTCGGGGAGGCAGAAGAGGCATGGAGAACAGAAAGCTGCTGTGGATGTCAACCTGGGGAAACCAAACATCCTCTGTGGGGGCCTTCTCTGAGTTTGGACCCAGTGGCACAGCCAGGAGGTAGGCCATGTCCAAACTCAGCCTCATGCAGGCGGCCACCACTGCCTTCCCTGACACAAACCCAGTGGTGGGCAGCACACAGGCCCAGCGGCGGGGCAGGAGAGGAGATGGAGGGAGGCATGGGCAGGAGGGAGTGGGGGCAGTGGATGTTGGAACAATGGAAACAGAGGTGTTTGTGACACCACCAGCCAGTCCGCCTTCCCCAGCCCTCCTGGGCAAACCCAGCGGGGCAGGAGACGGATGCAGGCAGGCGGGCAAAGCAGCGGAGGTGACACCTCCGGCAGAGCAGGGGGCCCAGGCTGCTACAGGCACTGCTCGTGGTGTGATGTCGGCCACGTGGGCTTGCCTGGTTTTGTCTGGTGAGTAGGAAATGTCTCTCCTTCGAGCCAGGTTGTGAGGAAGGGCTGCAGACCTGGCTGCTCTTTACCCCTCCCCATCACTCCTCAGGTCGGGCAAATTGGAGGTGGGAGGAAGAGACGGGAGCACCTTCGAGTGCCTCAGGTGCAAAGATCTCAGATCCTTAAAATGTTGCTGGTCTTCACCCATTGGAGCTGATATTCATCAAAGAGGGCAAGAGAGTGACTTAGGAGCCAGGGGGGAGGACTCGGAGCTGGACACAGTGGGCAGAGGCTGGACCAGAGATGGAAACTGGAGACACAATGACAGGGGCAGCTGGGCATGTTAAACCAGACACAAGCACAAAGGCAAAGACCTAGACTTGACCCGCAAGGCCAGAAGGGAAGATCTGTCCAGATGAAGCGACAGGGAAGGCAGGAGAAAGAAGTCCGAGAGAGGACCTTGGCTAAAGACAAACAGGAAGGAATATAGCTGGAAGAAATGGATAGAAAGGCCAGGCTTCTCTGGCCACATCCTAGCAGGAGACCATGGAGGGGTCCAGTATCTCCCAGTCTCCTCGTTCCCCTGCTTTCTGCAAACTGTCACACAGTCACCTGGCAATGTGTGGTGCTCTCCTCTGCTATTGCCTCACCGACTGCTCGATAACCCCTGCTGTCCTCTGGGACGGAAAGTTTAATGCTTTTGTTTGATCCTACTACATCTACAGACACACAGGTTCTAATGAGATGCTTGGCTGGAGCACCTCCCATATGAGGACAGGCTGAGAGAGTTGGGGTTGTTTAGCCTGGAGAAGAGAAAATTCTGGGGAGACCTTATAGCAGTACCTACAGCAGACCTTCCAGTACTTACA